CGGAGGCTGCAGGGATGCTGGTGACAATCCACCTGCCAGCGCTCGGGCGGCAGACACTGCTGGGTGGCTGTAAGGTCACGGGCCTCTGCGCACTGCGCTCAAGCTGGTCCTCGCCTCCTATTTCCTTTCAGATAAAATAGAACTCAGGGGAAAGGAAATAAACCCTCTCAAACTCTAGTTTCTTCTTCCCATGTATCAATCTAATTTCATTATTATACTGATGGTATCTCTTACTTTGAATAATTTAAGTGCCTGCCTCAAGTATGAAAAGCGAAAATATATTCTGTATTGTTGAAACATAGATGTATTCAACTTCTCAAAAGTTATAAGCAGGACCACATTTGTGTAACACATTAAAATTAGTCCCAAAACCTTTAAGTAGCCATCTTCCCAATTTCACTTACCAACTTCTACTTCACTCATCTAGCAATCTAAAGCTTACAGGTTAATCACTTGTAAAAATTCTGTATCTTCCCTCCCACCCTACAATGTATCAAATTTTATTCATGATTTTGAAGAAGCAGTTTGCCTACAAAGGAAAATAAGAGGAAAGGAAGAGAATATAATATTTAGGTTTCAATGGAAAGGTGTCTTTAAGCTTCCCAATTCTTAATCCTGGAAGAGCTTAGAAAAAATAGAGCAACAGGAAAAATTTATGATACTCTAATAATTAGCAAAATAAAAACCAAAAATATGCAACTTGGCATCTTTATTCTTGCTCCTTAAAAAAAAAAAAAAAATCCAAAGCAGTTTATGGCACTTGACAAATAAACTATTTTAAGACTACAACACTGACAGACTACAACACTGTCTCATTCAGTAACCTAAAAGTCAAAGTTCGAAGAAATGGAAAAACCTGAACTGGTTGATAAAATTCTAGGTTGGAAATAATTTACCCTTTGAATTTTGAGGGCGTTATGCCACTGTTCTAGTAGCTTCTAGTGTGGCTGTCAGAAAGTCCAACATCATTCCAATTCCCAGTCTTCTTATGTGGCCTATTTTTGTTTCATGAAACACTATAGCTCCTCTTGATCCTTTCCGTGGGCCTTTTTACATTCAGAGCTGGGCCCTCTTGAAATCCTTCCCATTGCCCCGCCCCCCTTTATCCTGAAAGTCCTTTTTATTAGATACTAGACCTCTCTGATTCATCTTTTATTTTTTTTTAAATATACCTTTATTGATTTCAGAGAGAGGAAAGGAGAGGGAGAGAGAGAGAAACATCAATGATGAGAGAGTCATTGATCGAGCCCGCAACCCGGGCATGTGCCCTGACCGGGAATTGAACCCCAATCGCCTAGATCCTAGGTCGACGCTCAACCGCTGAGCCACGCCCGGCCGGGCTCATTCATCTTTTGATCATCATATATTTTCTCTTCAATATTGTATTTCTTTTCCTTTTCTATTGCCTGGTAGACTTATTTGGCATCACTTTCCAACACTTCTAGTTCAGTTATAATTTTTTCTATCACAGTTTTAATTTCCAAGACCATTTTCTTGTTCTCTGAATGTTCTTTTTAATAGTATCTTATTCTAAATAACTTCTTAGGTGTAATACATCATTTCACTAAAGATACAAAAATTTTAAATGTTTTCTTCCTTTTTTCTTTTAACATTTTAAATATTTTTATGTTTCTTCTCAGTACCTTTTTCTCCTTAAATGTTTTTTATTTTAGAGGCCTTTCACAAGTGTCTGACGGTTCCTGTCTATCCATCAGCACGAACATGCTAACCAGAAGCTCTGTGTGCTCGGGGTGGAGGTGGGAGAGTGGGGGGAATGTTTGTCAACTGGCTGGCTTTACTACAAGGTGATGAGGCAATAAGTTGGTTTTTAATTAGGGAATCCCCCAAAAGTCAGTATCTGTAAGTCTGTCTGCTGGCTAGCTCATCCCAGAGAGAAATGCTCCCATCTCCTCTCTGGGGTATGCAGGGATGGGAAAAAGTAGGTTAATAATAATAATAGTAACTATTAATACAATAATTAATAAATAAATAATACCATAAGCTGTTTCACGTACTCACAACTGTAAACCTACTTTGCCCACCCCTGTATATGCCTGACTGCCATGTTCTGAGAATAGGTCAAGGGAATTAGGGGCTCTTAACTTCAATATTCAGACTTCTGCTTAAGTCTCTGTTTTTTCAAATTGCTATAAAATATATATTTTAAAAAATATATCTTTATTGATTTCAGAGAGAGGAAAGGAGAGGGAGAGAGACAGAAACATCAATGATGAGACAGTCATTGATCAAGCCCGCAACTGGGCACGTGCCCTGACTGGAAATCGAACCCCGATCGCCTGGATCCTAGGTCGATGCCCAACCGTNCAGTCATTGATCAAGCCCGCAACTGGGCACGTGCCCTGACTGGAAATCGAACCCCGATCGCCTGGATCCTAGGTCGATGCCCAACCGTTGAGCCACGCCCAGCTGGGCATCAAATTGCTATAAAATGTTTTAAATGCTTACTTTTAATTTCTATACCTAACTTTTTTTTAAATCCTCACCTGAGAGTATTTTTTCCATTGGTTTTCAGAGTGGAAGGGAGGGAGAGGGAGGGAGGGAGAGGGAGAGGGAGAGGGAGAGGGAGAAACATCGATGTGAGAGAGAGACATCAACTGGTTGCCCCCCACATGTGCTCCGACTGAGGGGATCAAGCCTGCAATGGAGGTACGTGTCTTTGGCCTGAATTGAACCTGGGAACCTTCAGTCTTTGGGCCAATGCTCTAACCACTGAGCCAAACCAGCTAGGGCTTCTATATCTAACTTATCATAGACCAGTAATAAACTGCAGACTGGCACCAATTTATGGCCCATACTTTGAGTAGCTCTGGTCTACAGCTGTGCTAATACATGTGGTTATTGAGCCCCTGAAGTCTGGCTAGTGCCATCTACTGAAATGATAATAGAGTGGATATAATTGGTTAAATATACCATTAAAATTAATTTCATCTGCTTCTTTTTATTTTGTCAATATGGTTACTAAAAAATTTTAAATTACATATATGGTTCGAATTATATTTCTTTTGGACAGTGCTGATCTAGGGCAGGGGGTCAACAAACTATATAGCCTGAGGACAAAATACAGCCTGTGGCCTATTTCTGTATAGACCCTAAGAATGGTTTTTTTACATTTTTAAAGGGATTAAAAAAATAAAAACCCACAAAGAACACTGACAGAAACCACATGTAGCCTTCGAAGCCTAAAATATTTTCCATCTGGCCCTTTACAGAAAAAGTTTGCTGACCCATGTAAGATTACAAACCATACCATGGTAGACATTAGAACAGCAATACTCAAGAAGTCCAGAGTCTCTCTTCTCCATGTTTACAACATAAACTTTGTAGCTATCTAAAAATATTTCTTTGACAAGCAAATTATACCTGAAAAATGACTGTTTAAGAAAGCAACCAAACTTAAAACCACACAGTTGTTTGTAAGTTGAATAAACAGGTACGATATGCAGAAAACAACTGTACTGGCCAGGTTACAAAAGGCAGTTCCTAATACTGAAACTTTGGTTCTGTTTTATAGAGCATAAAATTTAGGGATTTCTCTATTTCTAATCTTAATACTGCTGATAGACTGCATCGTGACAAAATATTCTAATTTAAAGAAAGACTATTATGTTTCCACACCCTTTGGGGATAGAAAGTGGAATTTTTCTTAATGTGGGAAATGCTATGTGGGCGGCTGTAATACTGGGAATAAAAAAAATTCTAATAATGATTCATAGAAGAGTCCATGTAAGAATCAGGAAAGCATTTCAACTATCTTTTTGTTTTTTAAAAAATATTTTGCCTTGACATTCTCAGGAAAAGTGTTTTTTTTTAAGCTATTGATTTGAGAAGAGAACATCGACTTGTTCCACTTACTTATGCATTCACTGGCTGTTTCTTGTATGTACCTGACTAGGGATCAACCCCGCAACCTCGGCGAACTGAGATGACGCTCTACACACAACTGAGCTACCTGGTCAGGGCCTTCATTTCAACTCTCTTAATATTTACAATGTCAGTTTTGAGGTTCTTTTGTTTGTTTTGTTGTTAAATTTTAGGAAATATGTTTAGCTGAAACCTCAAGACCTAAATTACAACTCTATTACTTTATATAAAAGTTACACATGGTTAAAAAAGTGTTAAATTTAAATTGCACTGATTCTAGAATAAAAGATGTTTATCTATTACAATCTTTCGCATTTCTGCACCTGCACAGCTATCCTTAAAACTTCCTAAACAAATTTCTAAAAACTCATTCCTTCCTCCGAGGATAATCATAATTTAAAACTGGTTTTATAATGCCATTTAAGTTAAATAGTTTTTGTTGAAAAATGATAGTTAACAGGATAAGCTATAAACCAGAATTATGAAAAATTAGAGGTCAGATTCCTTTACTAGAAAAATTTACAGACATAAAAATATGTATTAAAGACTACAGTCAATGGCCCTCTTAATGCCAAGTTGAATCTATTACAAAATTTCCAGAAAACAAAATAACTGAAATAGTTTCCAAGAGTTCGTTTCAATGGGACTTAATCCATACTTTATTGGAAATAAATTAGTTCAGCAAGTTTTAAGACTACATGGCATGCCACAGTGCTTAAGAGGAAGAATCTGACTCGATTCAAATTCCTCCTCTGCTGTTTAGTCTATCTAGACTACTCAGTGATGATAATACCTTTCCAACAGAAAGTCCTTCAGTTTCAGTAACAAAAACTGGGACACATGGATTGCGGAAAGTATTTCTGTGCCAAATTCAAGTTACAAGAGGCAGTTTAGGAGATTCAACCTTTGATTGATATTTTGGTGGTATTTCAATAATTTTTAGAGAAAGATAATATAATGTTAAAATTACTGACCCAGAAATCCAGGGGTGCATGGCTGTCATAACTAATAGTCCCTTCAAAAAGTTGAGCACTATTTGGGTTTTTAAAAAATATATTTAATCATTATTTTACACACTTTACTGTTACGATCCAACTGGATACCTATTTGTCTTTTATACTGCTATTCAATACTATATTCAACTATACAAAATGTTTTGTGGGTAATAA